ACCTTGATTAAACCTATTTATTTTACTACGGTGACTGCAGGGTCCACCTATTCTAAAACCTAACTAGTATTTCGTTAGGTAGACCCTGGGGTCCACTTTAAACCTACCTATTTCACTACATTGACTCCAGGGTCCACCAATCCTTAAAATTAAACCTAGATCTACATGTACTTATTTCACTACGTTGACCCCAGGGTCCACCAATCCTTAAATAAACCTCTCTGATTAAACCTAGATCTACTGATTTCACTACGTTGACCCCAGGGTCCACCAATCCTTTTATTTAATTAAATCTAGATCTACTTATAATTTCACTACGTTGACCACGGTCTCCGCCAGTCCTACTATAAAATAAACTGAGATCTACTTATTTCACTATGTTGATCCCGGGGTCCACAGATCCTTAGTTAAACGTAGATCCACTTATTTCACTACGCTGACTCCGGGGTTCACATCCTAAAACTTAGAATTTTGTTTAAAATAATAAAGTCCAGCAAAATGTTCTTCAGAGACATAGATCTCGTGGTCCGCCTGTCCACTTCCTTGATAATAAGTGAAAACAATACATGCCAGTTGTCATGAATAGTGAAGAAAAATGTGAGAAAAAAAAAGATAATGAGGTAGACTATAATTTGTCCAAAAAAATGCAAGTGCAAGTGAAGATCATAAGATAATTTTGTTATTTTCTGGTAATCTTTTCACGGTTTATAAAATATGTTCCAGTGGGCCTACTTCTAGATCTATGTCTCTGAAGAACATTTTGCTCGACTTAATTAGCTTTTTTCATGTACTTGAAAGCATAGAATATATATAGTTTCACACAAATGTATGCACAATACTTTGAAAAAGAAAAATAAGGTCATTGTTTTGTTTTTTTAACGGAATCCGGTTTACGTTGAGAAAAGCGCTAAAAACAAGTTTTAAAATTTTAAGAATGCCCATAATATTAGGAATCCGAAATTACTACCTTGATATAGTTGGCTTACTCTTTAATAACCATGAGCAGTTAAGAAAAAAAAAAGAGAATGAATATAGGATTTGTCTAAATTAAAATATGACCATTAGCAAAGATATTGCCCATTTTGTCCAATTATCCTTGAACTTGAAGGTAAAATCACCCTGTACAGTACCTCAATAAACACAAAAAGAATATTTCTGTGGCTTTGTATAAAGGTGTTTTGTAGCTGGGTTCTATGTAAAATTCTCAACAAAATAATGTACATTTGAACCGTACAACTGAGATAGACACTCACACTACACACACACATACAAACAGACTATTACATTTACTCTCTCTCTCTCTCTAGATCTCTCTCTCTCTCTCTCACCACAACCACACACAAAACAAACGCATACACACACTCACACACAAAACTCTTACCCTTGGTCCACTTTTCATTTAGTATCATCCTCTATTTTGAAATAATCCCCCCGCACTAAATAAAAAGATCAGTAGAATCTCGACCTTCCGAATCCATGGTTAGTTCAAGAAATCTACCATATGATGTAGCCTAAATAAGGTAAAGGACGGGTGGGGGGGTTTAGCTTATTTGGGCCATATGTGGCCTAAATGAGGTAAGGAAGGGGGGTTTAGCTTATTTAGGCCACAGTGGCCTAAATAAGGTAAGGGAGGGGTGTTTAGCTTATTTAGGCCACATGTGGGCCAGTCTGGTCTTAATCTGGCACTGGGCAGTGCCACTGACTGTAGTGTCTTTAGGCCATTCCCAAAGGGGGGACATTTCTCTTTCAAGTTCAAGCACAGTAGAATTGTAAATGGGCTGATTCATGTCACGCTCATAACTGTGCCTGATCTACAACAGGGAACTTCTGCTTTTTCTTTCCTAATCCTTACTATTACTATTGTCATTTTTCCTCTACTTCCTTTGTATGTTTGTCACTCTCTTGTGACCTGTTATTGTTTTTTTTGGGGTGCCTTGACAGTCGAAGCAGACCTTGTGCTGTTGAAGCAAGAGAAATGAGCAGAATAAGTCTGATTCTCTGTTGACACCCACCCCTTGGCGCTCTATGACCTTATGCAGTTGCGAGCGCCGTGATCCACAGTAGGCCTCAATTGATTGTGTACACATTATTTTATGATGTGTTATGCCATGTGTGCAGGGAGGGAGGGAGGGAGGGCGGGAGCTCTTCAGTGTTGACACAATTTTATTCTCTTATCGTCACCAGTGACTTAGTAGTACGACCTTGTTCTGACACAACATTGTCTGTGGGGTGACGAGGCTTGAATGGAGGCGCTGAGCACTAGGTCTACTTTGTGTGTTCCTTTTCCCAAGAGTGGTAACTTTGATTAGGCCTATACTCATCATAGTCATACATGAGAAACAGGTCAACGAAGTAGAATTCCTTTTTTTACTTTGAAGAGTAAGAAAGACGCCCTCAAACACTGGTTATGACTACCTGGTTCAATGATACACATTCACTTCAAACACTGGTTACGATTGCCTGATTCAAATCAGACAAGAAGGAAATCTTGAAAAGAAAGTGGGGCTACTCATTCATACAAAAACAAAAGATGGTATGGCAATAGAAAGTAAAGGACCTAACATGTACAGGCCGACCGGACAGGTTTTTGACCGTAGGCAAGCCATACAGCCAGACGAAATCGAGGAAATTTGGTTTATTATTACACGCCACAATCAACCTGAAGGCGGCCACACCTCGCAAGCAACATATTCTACACACTAGGCCTAGTCTGGGTGAAACTTCACACACGTTTGTGCATCATGGCGGACAGAATAGTTGAGTTCTGGATGATTTAGCGATTTTTGTAGTCTTAAAAAAGAAACAGAAAAAAAGAAAACAACGTCGCATGTGGTCAAAGGATTGGTTATTGAAGAGGAAAAAGCTATCACATACATGTACAAATCTGCTGGATGAGATAAGAGATTTCAAAAAGATTTCAAAAACTTCATGAGAATGGACGAAGAAACACATTTGCATCTCTTGTCATGCCATTGATCTCTAAGCAATCAACAGTGATGAGAGCCGCTATAGGCCCCCATGAAAGGCTCACAGTAACGCTTCGTTACTTGGCCACCGGTAGGGGTTACCAGGACCTCAGATTCTCGGCACGTGTTTCTGAACCAGTACTGTCACAAATCATCCCTGAAACCTGTGCTGCAATCTACGCGGTTCTGGTCAAGGACTATTAAGGGTAATTTTTTTAAAAACAACCCCCCACACACAAACACACATGATATACGCCCGCAAAGCATAAAAAAGAGCAGGAACGGAAAGTCCTTAAATACAAAACGAAACAAGTCGTTCGCAAGCCATTTCCCTAATTTTGATACGCTGATTCTGAATGTGATATTATTTTTTTTAAATCTACGTGATTTTTTATTAGTAATTAGTATTACTATTTTGAAATTAGTTCTGTTGTCCCCGGAGCAGCAAACTTGAAAGATTAGTCGACACTACCCTCAAGGCCGGATATCAAATTCACAGGCTGCGGCTGAGGATTCTTTACATTCGGCGGGCCGGCTATTCGCCAGGTGTTCGCCTACCGTTTGAGCGGCATCTCTTATTTAGTGTTACGATCGGCCATACAGCCCAGAAACCTGTCCGGTCAGCCTATACATGTAACAGGCCCTTAAAGGTTTTCAGTAAGAGAATAGTCTAGCATGAACATAGCAAAATTGGCAGGATGCAGAAATCTTTTTTACCATAGCTTCTCTTTACTATATATGAATTATGTGAAATAAAGAAATATAGGTTCTGGATAGATCTACATGCCTGAAAAAATTTGGGTCTCGAAAATCTGTACACTACATCATGTATGTATTCACTATGTGCATGCTAGACTGCGGTTTCCTAGAAGGAGGGAGGCCTTCTTAAGCCATAAGCTGAACACATGAGGAGAAACTGGAGAGTACTTTACACACAATTTGGATGACTGACACAGGAAAATAAGACAACGACAGGGATACAACATCCTGACAGATCAGCAATTTGAATACAAATGACTTGAAACTTAAAGAAATTGAGAAACGTGAATTATAGCACCCAGATCAAATTTATTATATAATCGATACTGTGTATTGTAAAAAATGAATACCCTACTTTCATAAAGGGCATTTGGCTGACAATTCCAATCAGGTAAAGATAATGTGAAAAAACAAAATCTTATACATTTAATTTCACATTACAAATTATTACAGTGGAATCCTGTTATAACGAGAGGGAGGGGACCGGAGCAAAATGTTCGTTATAGCAGGATTCTCGCTATAATGGATCCAGTAATAAATTCAAGGGAAACTGTAAAGTAGGCCTAATCTATGAGTTTGGTCTTCTGTTCATTTCCTTTTGTTATCTCCCCTGATGATGATTTTGTTTCAACATGACCTCTAGGTCTTACTTGATCAAAAATCGAATCAGGTTTCTTTCTCTAGTGCTAGATCTAACGATGTTGACTGGCAGCTCGGCGTTGGCGATCTGAAAGAAAGGGCTCTGGGCTATACTATTCTCTGACCGTCTAGGCTCTGGGTTAACTCGCCTGCTCTGTTTTCCCCCACCCCACCACACCCTGTGGTGCATTCCGTCAGCTTGTGCACATCACACATTTGCTCCAGTGGCTCCACCCATCACATTGCTGAGACCTCTACATCCTCGCATCGGAGAAGTGAGAGGCATGGTAGGCCTTGATAATCTAAACTAGGCTTACGCTGGCCTATCACGCGATGCGTGCTGTTTGTCTGCGCATGCCACACCCTCCCTACTCATTCGCTCCGGCCTTCATTGTTGACACACGTGGGCCCTCACATCCTTTATTTCACTAGATCACCAACAAGTTTCTCAGCTGGCGAGGTTTTACATTATGTATAATTGGCCTATGCACTGTGCACAGCAGCAGCAATATTCCGCTATAACCGACTCGCATGTTTGTCTGATAGTGCTATAGCAGTATTTTATTTACAAAGATAAAGAAGAGAAAAAAAGGGTTTTAGAGAACAGTGTCTTTATAACAGACTTCTCATTTTTTCCGTACTCGCTATAAGTGGACTCCACTGTAATTACAAAAGGTCTAAAATGTTGGCCAAATGTATACCTGTCAAAGCAATCAAAACCACACTCCTCAAATATCACCTTTCATTTCAAGTATCACAAACACACGCACACCAAATAAAAGAAAGCCCCCAATCACAACAGTACCTTACTTGAGACAAACCCCATAAATAAAGAACATGCTTTCATTTTAACACAAATTCATATCTTCCAAACCTGCCCACGACAAAATTGAAAAAAAAATTAATTACACTAGTACACATTTCTAAGACGAAGATGTTTTATCTTTCCATTCATCTTCATTGACATCAAAGTCCTGCATCTTGCGTGACATGTGCACAAATTTGCCTAGAACACCGACATCAATGACTTGCTTGTGCCACTGGTACCATGGGACGTTGGTGTGTTTACACTTTGCCTCGTACAGATCTAACTCGTCACGGTGCTCACTGACCCATACCAGAGAGAACAGTCCTAGGCTGGTGTGGTGCAGCTTGCCATCGCGGTGTGCAGACCGCATATTGTCTATGTGTGCATCTGACTCTTTGTTTCGTATCGTTGTTCCAACTAGGGAGAGTTCATGGGCACTTTCAAGGAGAGCGTTTTCCAGATCTGCTTCGGAGGGATTTGACTTGATGAGTATGCCAGCTGCAACCAAGCTGGTGAGGTACACAGAAGCTTTGATGGAGCCGTCTGCAATGTCCTGAAAGGTCTCTTGTGCCACCATTTTATAGTCATTCAGAATGTTACCAAAGTACTGGCCTGAAAAAGAAGATGTCAAATATGTTACCGGTACTTCAGTGATTGTTCAAAACAAGAATGAGAATAATTGCCACGTATGAACGGTCTAAGACATGACTGAGTATTGTCCGTGATGTAACACCAACCCCTTCTACCCGTAACAATACACAACCCATTTGAGAACATATAAGATATTTTTACTGTCCCTTTCCTGCTACAGTGGAACTCGGATTCAATGAGGTCGCCGGGCCTGACCGAAAATCTGGTTGAATCCGAGTGTTCGTAATAGCAAACATGAGATTTGGTGTAGATAATTACAGGCACTGCGCAAGTAATGTGTAAAGAGAAGTAACAAGTAGTGCCTGAAATGCTTACACATTAAAAAAAAGACTGATTCATTCAAAATCAAATGCACGCCTGTGTCATCTCAATTGTTTGGCAAAAAGTTGTGTTGCTGTGTAGAGCCTAGCAGACGGCAACTTTTGATTCCATAGACCAGCGCACAATTCAATGCATAGATCTTCGTCAAGACTAGCTTATCATTGTATTAATGATCAGTTGCCGAGGGTAAAAAAAAAGACTGTGACGCATTTGTATCTGCGACGTTTAACGCCCGGAACGCTAGTGCCCCCCCCCCCCTCCCCCCGACACACACACACAGTCACACGTGTGCAGGTGGCCCATCCCACCCCGACACACGCCAGAGTAGACACGTGCGCGTGCCAGCAACGCATATTGTGTTGGTATGAAAAAAAGGCTGCTGATTGGTCGCATGCAATCGGCTAAGATAATAGTAGCCTAGTTCACGATACAGTTGCAATGGGTGGTTTCCGGGAATAGATAAAGTTCGTTCTGGGAGAAAAATGAGCGAAACGTCTACGGGGGCTGTTCACCCTGGAAGCGACCTCGTAGAATCCAAGCTCGCTGATTTAAGTGCTCGTTGAATCCGAGTTATTTTTATTGATTATAAAGAAGAAAAAAAAACAGGGAATCTATCTCATCTCGTTGAATCCGAGCTCGTTAAATCCGAGTTCCACTGTATTGCTTATTATAAATGAACTTTTTAATCAGCTAAAAAAGACCCCCCCAAAAAACTCGACATGCTAAAGCAGCAACCCAGAAAACTTTTAAATCGTCGTCATCTCATATATATTACATGCTGCTAGCCTTCCTTGCAATTGTTTGCACCCATCTCATTTCCCTGTTCCCCTGTCCCTGGACTTTAGTGCACACTGCAAATTGAGTTGAGTAGAGGCTATAGCTGCCATTTTGGTACAACACCACAGATTCAACTTGAGACCCAGAAAAACAAACAACTAATTATGCAACAAGGAAGAGAAAGACATTTGCTTCTAACTTCAACACCATAAGGTAACAGAGGCCGGAAAAGTATAAGTAGAGTAAGTACTATTATGGAGAAGAAGTCACGCCATTTGCACATCCTGCTTGTCATCTGTAACATTTAACAATCGTCATCAGAAAATTTGAGGTGGCAATGAAAGCAGATCTTGATTTTCCAGATTAAGACTGCCAAGCCCTGATATTCACTTGCACACTTCCAATATAATGCAGATTGTTTGTGTGAAATTGTGCGAAATACACTTATTCAAACTCCCAGGGCCTGGCAGTCATCCTGCCTAATTCTCTATAAAACCGTCTAGAAGCAAGCTTAAAAGAATACTTGACCACAAAATTCTTATAAATTGAATTGCACAAGACTGCAATGAAAGTATAAGAAATAGAAACTAAGTTATTATAATACTGTGTTATACTGATTATATTACATTCATAGCTGTTCATTATAAAAGCTCAAAACCTTTGATCATTGTCTATACCAGAGTATTGATATTATTTTAATGCAAATGTCTATAATAAAAAGAGTACATTGTTTGGAATTTTTACCGAAGAGGTATAATGATCTATTTTAAGGCACTGCAGAACTTATTAGATTTTGCGAGCGAAGTTACACTTTCAAGTTGACCGTTCTATTCTCCATAAATAATATTGTTTATTCTATAGATAGACAGTACAGTCAACTACAGATGAGTTGGTGTTGTTGGGGGAGTGAGACTAGTGAGAGAAAAAATCAACTAACCTGAAGTTCAGCTTAACCTTTTTTTTTTTGTATGGGGTTTTACGACGCTCGCAACTGCATAAGGTCATATGAGCACGCTAAACAAATTGTTTTTTCTGAACAGTTCACTGCTCGGCCTGATTCTGGTCACTATTTCTATTTAAAATTGTTAAGACGCTAAAAATCGAGTGTAAATAGATTTTAAATTTTAATTTCAACAGGGTTGGGTTGATTTAAATCAGTTGATTTTAAAAATTTAAATCAACTTGATTTTTTAAATAAAAATCCGTGATTTAAATCACTTTTAAAAAAATATATTTTTATTCAGTTTTTACTTATTTCAACATTCAGAATTCCTTTCCTTGGTTTCATAAAACAATATAAGGTTTAGTAGACTAATATAATCATGCTTTAAAGTCTGCTTTCCACCCTTTCACTGTAAAATAATACAGTATTCAATTTACTTTTTTTTCCATAATTGAAATCAGAGCTGGGTTGATTTAAATCAGTTGATTTTTTAAATTTTAATCAACATGATTTAAAAAATAAAAATCAGTGATTTAAATCACTTTTTTTTAAAATGTATCCAGTTTTTACATATTTTAACATTCAGAATTCCTTTCCTTGGTTTTATTAAAAAGATATAAGGTTTAGTAGACTAATATAATCATGCTTAAAAGTCTGCTTTCCCCCCTGTCACTGTAAAATTTATTGTAATACAGTTCTCAATATATTTTTTTTTTCATAATTGAAAACCAGGGTTGGGTTGATTTAAATCAGTTGATAAAAAAAAAAAAATTAAATCAACTTGATTTCAAAAATAAAACTCAGTGATTTAAATCACTTTAAAAAATGTATTCTGTTTTTACATCTTTAAACATTCAGAATTCCTTTCCTTGGTTTTATAAAACAGAGGTTTAGTAGACTAAAATAATCATGCTTAAAAGTCTGCTTTCCCCCTGTCACTGTAAGTAGTAAAATAATACAGTATTCAATTTACTTTTTTTTAAACTGAAATTAGCATTTTCTTTTTCTTTTTAGACAAGCAACGCACACTGTAATAAAATGCAAGTTTATCTATGCATACTTACCCCCCCCCCCCTTCCTTTTAGACTGACATTTTCTTCATTTTAAATTGTTTGTGGCCATAATTCACTTATATAGCAGATTAAGGCTTTCTGAAATTGCAGTTGCTTAAACTAATGCATTCTGCACTGAAAGAACATACTTTTAGCCACCAAATATCCCAAACTGTGTCGACATTAAAAAAAAAAAATTTAAAAAAAATAAAAATCAGATTTAAATTTTTTTAAATCTTGATTTAAATATAAAAAATCGATTTTTTTAAAAAATCAAAAAAATCACCAACCCTGAATTTCAAACAACTTTCTAAATAATACTTAAAAATTCAAACAATCTATTTTATAACTTTCCATTAAAAGGCCAAGGGCCTTCATAAAATCTAAAATTCTGCTGGGAACAAGGACGCAAAAAATATCTTGAAATTTTTTGCATTTAAAGTATTTCTTTCGGGTCTCTCCAAAGTCTAGACATTCGGATAAAATGTGTCTAATGGTAAAATCTGTGTCGCATCCGACACAGAACGGCTTCTCATCTCCCTGAAGGAGGTATTTGTGTGTTGGGGCCGTGTGTCCGATGCATAATCGAGAAAAAATGACTTCTCTTCTGGAGAGGACCAAAGGATTTCGCGGTCCCAGTTTGGGTTTAATGTTGAGAAGTTTGTTATTTGTTTTGTTTTTTCCAATGGCTCTTCCACAGACTGGAGGTGTACTTTTTTACTTTATTTTTAAAGTCAGTCTATGGGAGAGTGTTCGTCATTGATCCCAACAGAAGAGAAGGGATAAGGATTTTTTCGCTAGGTGATCTACCTGCTCGTTTCCCTGGATGCCCACATGGCTAGGTATCCATGCGAACACGACACTTTTCCCGGTTTCAGTCAAGGCGTGTATTTTTTTTTGTAGTCCAGTTATTTTTGGGAGTAGGAGTGTGTAGTTTCTAAGTGAAGTGATGCAAGACAGAGAGTCAGAAAGGATAAGGAAAGATTTGTTAGGAGAATTTTCTACGGAATCCAGTGCGATGTCAATGGCAGTGGCCCCCGCAGATAAAATGGAGGTTTTGGAATGGAGTCTCCTCTGGTGTGTACTGTTTGAAGATAGGGCTGCGGCGTCAACATCATTGTCCTTTTTGGAGCCATCTGTGAAGATACGCTACGAACCGGGATAAGTTTTTTGTATTCTGCTTTAAATGTTTTGGTGTTTGAGCTTGCTTTGTCATGTGTGGTCAGCTGTACTGTAAGTCTACTTTTGCCTTGGTGAGGTGCCATGGAGGGAGGTTGGGGAAAAGAAATTGTTGGATGTCTTGTTTGGAAAAGTGTATGTTTTTGAGGTCCTCAAGGATTCTGAGGCTGAAGGGTATGATGAGATTTTCGTTGTTTTGGAATTTGTTTATGGTGTCTGGGTTTGTTTTGAAAATGCAGTCGTGTGCTGGGTTCTCTGGTGTTGAGCTCTGTTTAATTGCTTATTGTAGTGAGAGTTGTGTGCGTCTGAGTGTGAGTCATGGTATGTTTGCCTCGGCTTGGAGGCTCTCCACCGGAGAAGTGCGGAAAACCCCCAGAGAGAGGCGGAGTCCTTGGTTTTGCACTGGGTCTAGCATTGTTAGGATGTGTGGTTTGGCCGATCTGTAGACTTGACAGCTGTAATCAAGCCTGGACTGAACAAGGGAGATGTACAAGTGGAGAAGATGTTTTGAGTCCCCACACCACTCCGGATGCGATAGAAATTTCAAAGCGTTTAACGCTTTCTGGCACCTCATACGAAGGTCTTTGATGTGTGGTAGGAAACTACATGAGTCGCCTGTGGATCATTTTTTCTATAAGTTTGCACAGACAGCTCGTTAGTGCTGTTGGTCTGTAATTGGATGGGTGTGT